TGATGCCTAACAAATGGCCAGCAACCCCTTACAACACACTCGAGTGACACATGCCAAATCGCTGTCACCCAGAGAGAACTAGGGACCCAAGGCATACCAGAGGGGGCAGATTTTTTCAGTTCACCTGGGGGGGTGGGGGAAGCATTGCTGGAAAACTTTGTACCGACCAAAGTTTTTGTTGGCCTGGGGCGATGTGGAATATTGATCAGGGTGGAATCACTGGTTAAGCCTCGGCAGCAGAGATGAGCTGATCTTTAAGGGGAAAAGCACTTTTTTGGAGTGGGGGGGGGTTACTGTGTTTGTAATGAGCTGTATGGTTTCATTCCATCCCAGCCCCACTTCGAGCAGTGCCAGGGAGCCCTCCACATCTGGTTTCACTCAACTCTTTGCTCTAGCTGCCCTCCCTTCCCTGCACACCCCCACCCACTGCCTCCTTTCCCTCTTTTCTTTCAAAAAAAGGAATCGATCTAGAGCAGCCGATGCACAAAGGAACCGAGCACCTCCTCCCCCCCCCCAACGTCTCTCACTCACAGACACTTAGGAGTTGGAAAAACATGTGCAAACTCTACCTGAGCGAGCAGCGCCGAGACGCAGATCAAGGCTCAAGACGCAGAAGAGCGCGCATTGCAGCATCCGTGGCCATGGAGAGCAGGCGAGATTAGTGAGTTTCATGCCCAGGGATAGGTTTTGCTGAAGGGTTTTTTCTTTTTTTGGATGGAGGTTGGATTTTCCCTCCCCCCCACTCTCTCTCTCTCTCGCCTTCTCTCCTTGCAGAACTCCTGAGTTGGGCAATTGTTTTCTCCCTTCTGTCCTCCTCTTGCTCGGGAGGGAGGACGCTGGAGGGGCTGGGGTGAAGGAGAGGGGGGTGGAAAGACAGAGAGAAGGAGGAGAGGAACACCAAAAAAAAAAAGTGTCTCTGCCTGTCTGCTAATGGTTCAAAGAAAGCCTCAGTAGACACTGCGTCACCGGAGAGCCAGTCACTTGTGGGCTGATCCCAAAAAAGCAGGGAAGGGGAAAGAGAAGGGGAAAAAATGTTTCAGGCTTAGCAAACTGGAAGCAAACTTCTGAGGCGCTTGGCACGAAGCGCTGCACGAGCTGTTACAACAGTTTGCTGGGGGGTGCTGCAGCCTCTCCTGTGTGTATTGCAAGGCAGATTTTTTTTGGGGGGGGAATGGGATGAAATGCATGGACCCCGGCCGGGAGGTCAACTATTCAGCCCGATCAGCTGCCACCCCAAACGCCACAGTTCCCCTCTGCCATGGGAGCTCGGGGGCGGTTTGCTGCTGTCTTTGTTAATGGCAAGCAACTTGTGGTGGAGAGGGAGCGGTGGATGCTCCCTCCCCCCAGGAGGTTAGCTGGGCACGGCGACATTCCTTCAGCTTTTACAAATAATGTAAACCCCAATGCACTGCTGCTAACCCCCTGCACATTCAAAACGAATCCGGCACCACGTTGCAAAATTCTATGATCTGTCTCCTCCCCCTTCTCTTGCTGCCAGGTAGGAATAACTGCCCCTGAAGTCATTCTCCCAGGGGAACAAGGCACCATGATTTTAAGGCAACACAAAGTGATCTGCCTTGGTGGACAGATGTTCCTCGAGTGAGAGCAACTACACTGCCCAGAGCCTTTGGAGGACTGCGGTGAGCAATTGTCTAACTCACTCCAGCTGTAGCCTGTTCCCCCTGGTGGGCCAGCCAACTCCAGTGAAAACCGCCACGCCACGCCACTCCACTCAAGCGTGTGGGCGGGGATGGGACCTGAGTTAGGGGCAACACTTGACTTAATCCTGCAGCCAAGACCAACCCTAAGGGGGTTGTGCCCCCTTGTAACTACAGAGCATCCTCCGATGCTGCTCAACTTGTGGAAGAGGGATAGTTCTGGAGTCCACCCTCGTGGAGGGAAATAAGGGAAAACCACATGGAATATGGGGGACCAGGCTTTGTTTGAAGGGACAGTTTAGGGAAACACCATTGCACGTAGCCCATCATGGATTTCGTCTCTCATGTACAATGCAATGATCATAAGCTTCAAGTTAACGTTTAAAAGGGTCCTTGTTCCTGGTTTTAACACGTCAGTACATCGCACAGTAAAGGGGGGGGGTCACCCTAAGGGACAAATCAGTGAAAGACGGGACGTTCTGCATGAGGTCAGACAAGATGATCTAATGATCCCTTCTGGCCTCAAAACCTAGGAAACGTGGAGCCCCCAGGATGCTTTCCTCCAGCCTCCGCCCAGCAGGCTGGCCCAATGTTGCTGTTCCTGGGGATCCAAGAGGGTATGGGGCGTTGGCTGGAGGATGAGATGAGGAGGGAGCGTAGTCGGCTTCAGCACAGACCACCTGTGCCTCTCCTGCCCGCAGCAGCCCTTTGCCCAGCACTGCCCCAATGGGCCAGTCGTCACTAGACGGCGGCACCTGAGGCACAGAGGTTCATAGTCTGGGCGCATCCACACTGGCCTCTGCGAACATATTACTGGCAGCCTCCCCTGGACTGCTAGTCAATTTACTGGAGGCAGAAGAGGCAGGGCTAGACCAACCCAAAGGGCAGGCTACTTTCCTGCATCCCCCACTCACCTGTATGTGGTGCACCAGGCCAGGAGTTCCTCCTCCACCTCCCGTCCCCCCCCTTCCAGAGGGAAAACACCCAAAGCCTGTGAGGGAGAGAACTACTGCATGGGGGCTGGGAGTAGGGGGAGGGGGAGAGCCAAAGAGGCTCTGGGAATCTTCACTTAGCGGGATGAGAAGAGCTCACAGAGATGGGGAAAATGCCCCTGCAGGGTTCGGGTAAGAACAAGGGAAATGGACAGTGCTGGGGAAAGACTGAAAATTTTCTTAAAATGATAGCAGTGGGCACGGAGGGGGGATACGGGTCGCTGGGCACACAGAGGGCAGTGGGAATGCATCAGTACAGGGCACGTGACACCCAGTTGAGCAGGTCTGATTTCACCCAGCACCGGGGGAAGACGACAGCTGATAGTCACCCCTGTATTTAGGCTGCCCAGCACTTCCCACCGTAAAGGCTTCTTGCCACCTTTGATTTGAGATTCTCCCACCTCCGTTGTTTGCAGCAGGTCTGTGAGCAGCTCCTCCATGCAAGGACACCACAGTGGTCCCCCACCCTGAGGAGGCAACAGCCCCGCAGTGGGGATCCATCCCCAAGCGCACCATTCCCCAGTTGCACTCTCTCCCCCCCCATCCCAAGGTGTCTGGATGTCAATCGAAAGGGCGTTCTAGGGTACAGGGAGAGCTGCACCAGGCTAGGGGGCATGCAATACATGGGTGGAACAACGGGTGGGGGGGAGGGAGAGAATAATACAGAAAGACTATTTTGAAGCACTTGGAGAAGAGGAAGGTGATCAGGAACAGTCAACATGGATTCACCAAGGGCAAGTCACGCCTGACCACCCTGACTGCCTTCTATGAGATAACTGGCTCTGTTGATATGGTGAAAGCAGTAGATGAGATATATCTTGACTTCAGCAAAGCTTTTGATATGGTCTCCCACAGTATCCTTGCCAGCAAGTTAAAGTACACCGCTACCTCGATAGAACACGACCCGATATAACACGAATTCGGATATAACGCGGTAAAGCAGCGCTCCGGGGGGGCGGGGCTGGGCACTCCGGTGGATCAAAGCAAGTTCGATATAACGCGGTTTCACCTATAACGCGGTAAGATTTTTTGGCTCCCGAGGACAGCGTTATATCGAGGTAGAGGTGTAGTATGGGCTGGATGAATGGACTATAAGGTGGATAGAAAGCTGGCTAGATCATCAGGCTCAACGGGTAGTGATCAACGGCTCGATGTCTAGTTGGCAGTCAGTATCAAGCGGAGTGCCGCAGAGGTTGGTCCTGGGGCCGATTTTGTTCAACATCTTCATTAATGATCTGGATGATGGGATGGATTGCACCCTCAGCAAGTTTGCGGAGGACACTAAGCTGCAGGGAGAGGTAGATACACTGGAGGTTAGGGATAGGGTCCGGGTCCAGAGTGACCTCGACAAATTGGAGGATTGGGCGAGAAGAAACCTGATGAGGTTCAACAAGTGCAGAGTCCTGCACGTAGGACGGAAGAATCCCATGCACTGCTACAGGCTGGGCCCTGACTGGCTAAGCATCAGTTCTGCAGAAAAGGACCTGGGGATTACAGTTGACGAGAACCTGGATGAGTCAACAGTGTGCCCTTGTTGCCAAGAAGGCCAACAGCATATTGGGCTGCATTAGTAGGAGCAGTGCCAGCAGATCGAGGGAAGTGATTATTCCCCTCTATTCGGCACTGGTGAGGCCACATCTGGAGTATTGCGTCCAGTTTGGGAGCCCCCCACTACAGAAGGGATGTGAACAAAATTGGAGAGAGTCCAGCAGAGGGCAACGAAAATGATTAGGTGGCTGAGGCACATGACTTACGAGGAGAGGCTGAGGGAACTGGGCTTATTTAGTCTGGAGAAGAGAAGAGTGAGAGGGGGATTTGATAGCAGCCGTCAACTACCTGAAGGGGGGTTCCAAAGAGGATGGAGCTCGGCTGTTCTCAGTGGTGGCAGATGACAGAACAAGGAGCAATGGTCTCAAGTTGCAGTGGGGGAGGTCTTGGTTGGATATTAGGAAACACTATTTCACTAGTACGGTGGTGAAGCACTGGAATGGGTTCCCTGGGGAGGTGGTGGAATCTCCATCCTTTAGAGATTTTTAAGGCCTGGTTTGACAAAGCCCTGGCTGGGATGATTTAGTTGGGGTTGGCCTGCTTTGAGCAGAGGGTTGGACTAGATGACCTCCTGAAGTCTCTTCCAATCCTAATGGGATGAAAGGACAGGAATCGGGGGCATATGGGGCAGGATGCTAGAAAAGGAGGCCGATGGCATGTGGGACAGGACCCCCAGGAATTGATAGGGTGGAAGCAGGATATGGTGCAGCAGGAGGGTGGGCAAGGGGCAGACCCCCGGGGGGCAGATGATGTGGAAGATAGATGGGGGCAGGACCCTGGGTGGCAGATGGGCTAGGATACAGAGGGGGAGATGGGATGCAGGAAGGCTAGACCGTGGGGTGGGGTTAGGACCCCAAGGGGGCAGGGGCAGCTGTGGGGGCAGGAGAGCTCTGACAGGGAGCAGATGGGGACTAGGGGTGCCACTTATCTGGTCATCACCCACCCTAGGGGGGGGCCTCTCGTTCTGGGACTTGTCCTGGGAGAGGTGGGCAGCAGCTGGGCCAGGCCCCCCAGCCACATGGGCCGTGCAGAGGCCTCTGCATGCGTTCATGCGCGCAGGGGTGCATGAGCTGGGCACCCTGCGGCTGCCCGTTAATGCGCTTCACTCCAGTCCCCTTTCAAAGAGAGCTAGGATCGAAGCACACAAAGGCTGGGTTAACGGGTGGCAGAATGAACGCGGACAGCGCGCACCGCGGCAGTGGGGACATCACAGCCACCTCACCATGAATCTGCCACCCGAGGCAGCTGCCTCTCGTGCCAGTGCCTGCAGCAACTTCCATGCATACCATGCTGGAAAAGGCGTCACATGCACCTAAAGGCCGCCAGGGTGCGGGAAAAGGCAGTCACCCCCGTTAGCTCTGCCACTGTTCACCAGACTGCTGCGAGGGAACCCAGCCACTGGGTCCCCAGGCGTTTCAAGCCTCCAAAGCCTGAACAGAGCCCAGCTGCTGCCCCAGACTTGGGGTCCCTAGGCACACACTTTTGGGGCACAGACCCTCTGCCTAGCACCCCCTCCTGAGAGCTGGAACACACAGTCCAGCTGCCTAGCCCGTGGGCTCAGTGCTGACCCTTCAGATTCCCTTGTAGCTTAAACACCCCCTTCTCCAGTCCCCACCCCCACAGCGGGAGCCTTCAGGCTTACAGAAGCTCTCCCAGGAGGCCCATGGTACAGGTCAGGCATATACCACACGCTTTGCACAGGATCAATCATCTTCACTCTTTTACTTACCACGTAAAGCACAAGGGAGTCCCGACCATGACAAACCTCCTAACCTCAGCAAGCATCCAGCACTCACTCACTTTTCCCTTGGGGACCATCTGTGTTCAGGAAGGATCCTCCATGCTAGGTTGCTTCTCCCTCCTCTTGTCTTGAGCTAGGGAAAAAGGGCCCCCAAATAGATCAGCTCCTCCTTTTTTTTTGGTATAACTTTCCAGTCTCCTCTGTGAGGTGACCAGAAACCAGAGAAGTCTCCCCATGACTTCATTGCCAAGCAACCTTTCCCCTGCTAAACCAGTTCCCCTGGTTGGGAACCAGTCTATGTTGTTTAGAGCTCTTCCATTTCACTGGGAGGACATTTCAAGTCAACGACCCACCTTTGTTATATTTCTGCCACCAGCCCTTGGAATTTGAGTCCAACCTGGCTGCAGACAGCCAACAGAGAAGGCAACGGGGTTGCACCTTCAAAATGGAGTTTGCAGCTTGGTAAAGATACATAGAGCGAGGTCAGAATCTCACCCAGAATCAACAGTTTTACTAACATTCAACAAATCATAACACCCCTTCCTCATTCACTGCACTGGAGGGATGCACAAGTGGGCAGAATTAGAATTGCACAGACAACAGTAAATCTGGCATTTCCTACATTGCAACCTGAATATCGTTTGTTTCACACAGTTGTGTGTGTCATACAAAGATAGAACACAGAGGGCTACCAGGAAGCAGTTCCTGGATGGGGGGTGGGTGGGAGAGGAATCTGTAGCAAACCTCCTCTCCCCCCCCCGCCTCAACTTCTCATGCTCTTGCGTCTCTGTCCTCCCAGATTCTGGCCTGAGCTGGGAGCAGCAAGTCAAACCGAGGGTCTGTCAGAGACTATGTTTGTGTGGATTTTTTTCTGGAGCGAATGGAAGCAGGAAGCACCAGAAATCTTGGAGGGTGGGGGGGGGGGGGAATTCTTCTCCGAAGATTTCTAGCCAGTTTTGCAGCCCCGTGCACATTCAGCTGAGGATAGCGTACACAGCCGAGCTGCTGGAGATCGGCCTGTCACTCATCCCCACAGGAGACAGGGCTACCCAGAGCAAAGTATCAGTTAGTCCAGGGCATGCTCTCCACACAGACGCCCTCGTGAC